GGCCACCATGTGGTTTCTTCAAAGGAGCGTAGGTGGCCAGGCGACGTAACCCCATCAAAAAGCAAAGTGTGCTGCTTATATACCACCTGTAACACTTGAAGCTCTCACTGGGTGTTTGACAATGTCATTACACAGTCTACACATTGCTCTAAGCAATCTTTCAGGTTCTCCAGAGTTCTTTGGCAGGTGAGGTGGGACTAAAAAAAAAATTATATGATGCCGTCTGTGCTCACTGGGGGACTTTTGATAGTTGTGCTGCAAAAAGAAAAGTAACTTTTCTGGACTTCGGTTTAAGGCTGAAAAAAATCTGCTTTGTGCAGATTACAAAAGGAATGGAATTCATTGGCGGCTGTCAAGTTGATTATTTATTTTATTTTATTTATTTATTTATTTATTTAATATCCCGCCTATTTGGTTGGTTAAGATTACTCCTTGGAGGGGGGGTTCCCGGGTGTAATTGGCAGCGGTTTTCCACGCCTCTCCTCCCGGGGGCTTCGTCTATCGTCCAGAGAGGGGTTTGTTGGTTCCCAGCACTGCCTCCTTCAGGGTTGTGCCCACTCAGACACAGCGCCGCCCCGCCTCTGCCTCTTGAGTGGCCGCCCGCTGGAAGAGGCGGGACTTTCGGAGCCGCAAGCATCTGTAGTGCTCAACGAAACAGTACGAACTGCCGAAGCGGCGTTTTGTGCCCATCTCTGCTCAAGATTGTTAAGTGGTTTAGGTTTTAGACTCTAAAACCACGCTAGGCAAGTTATGAAAGGTAGGTTCGGGCAGGGCCGGCTACAAGGCTCAACTGCATGGACTCCCAACTGCTCTCAGCCGGCTTCTCTTCCAGGAGGCGCAGTTAGAAGGATTCTAACTCCCTGGGCCCAGAGCCAGATGCTCCAAACCACTGAGCTATACTTGCTCCCATAAAAGGAACGTACAGAACACAAGAAGAGAGAGGTCTTAAGATGTGAGATGGGCGCGAATTGGCGGTATGCGCCAGTTCGTCTATCGTCCAGAGAGGGGTTTGTTGGTTCCCAGCACTGCCTCCTTCAGGGTTGTGCCCACTCAGACACAGCGCCGCCCCGCCTCTGCCTCTTGAGTGGCCGCCCGCTGGAAGAGGCGGGACTTTCGAGGCCACAAGTATCTGTAGCGATCAACGAACCTGCGCGAACTGCCGAAGCCGCGTTTCGTGCCCATCTCTGCTCAAGATTGTTAAGTGGTTATGAAGGGTAGGTTCGGGCAGGGCCGTTATTAACCGGGACTATGAAGGCAGGAACGACGAGGGTTGTGGCATCTCGGCATACCACAAAATGCTGGGGACCAGGAGTAAGCGAGGGCTCCTTCCTTGATGCCCTGGTGCGCTCCTCGGAGACGCTTACGCCGGCGGCTTTTGGACGCAGGCCGAAAGGTTGCTTGTGGTATCTCCTGCCTTTTCTTTCATTGACTTCCGGCCAGCGTTTGTGCTCGGTGAAGTGGATCGATTTGGAAAGAGGGAGAGTCTTAACACAAAATGACCCAGTTAGTTCTGTCTATCTTCTGGGGTTTGATCTGGTTCTTAACCTTAGGTAACTCAGGTTCTTGGACAGAAACCCCAGCCGGCATAGCTGGTGGTGAAGGCTTCTGGGAATTGCAGTCCAAGGACACCTGGGTGACCCAAGGTTAAGAACCACTGATTATTCTAGACGACTACACCCCCCACCCAAAAAGTAACTTTTTATGGGTGCCCGTCCGTGCTCTAGATTGACAGTAATCACGACATACGTGTCATCTAGTCACCTTTCCGATGAACTGCGGTTTATAATGAATAGGAATGAGATGGTTTTAGGTAGTGATGCTCTCCAGTTGCTTTTAAAGGCCCTCCTTCTTCTTTTTTTAAGGACCTAAATTTACATTGTGAGAAACGCTCTGATGAGTTGAAAAGTAACTTCCCAAGTTCTGGGTTTCTCACCCAGCGCTGTACTTAGGTTGAGGTCCCTGCGGAGAAGAGTTGGGCTGTTCAGACAGAAAGGGAGGAGTGTGATGGAAGGGGGTTAGGTGGCCCGCCTGGACTGCCCACCCCGCCCGGTGCATTTCTCATCCAGAACTCTGAGCGGTGCATGTATTCAAGGCATCAAGCGCATCAAAGAGGGTCTGATGAGGAACCTCTCTCCCCCACTCTCTCTTTTCTTTTTTTCTTTTTCTTTTTTTTAATTAATGGGGCAGGGGAATGTGCTCTGGCTATCCTGAACCGGGATGGCTGGCTTGCAAACAGACCCCTTTCTATTTAAAGGTGGCCTCACTGGGCAAACAGAGACCTTGACAGCCTTCGCTCTCTCTCTCTCTCTCTCTCTCTCTCTTTCTTTTTTTTCACTTTCTGGCCAGTTGCAAAAGGATGGAGCCAACCCAGTGGACTGGAATGTGAGGGATTTGGAAGCAGGATGAGGCCGGGGCACCTGGCGGAAATTAGACACAGCTTGGACGGGACTTCAGCTTTACGAACGGAATAAATTTCAGCGGTCGACATCTCTTTTCTTTGCTGGTGTGGATGGGGGGGGAATCTGGGGTGGGTGGAAAGCAAAGGTGTGTAGATAGGTGGGATTTTTCTTTGCAGCCTGAAAACACAAACCTGCAGTGAAAAGCGTTAAAAAATAAATCAATGTAATGCGCTTCCCTAAGGAGTCTGAGAACAGAGAGGGTATCAGAAAAGTGGTACGCTATGGCTTCAACCTTCCTCCTTTGGTGATTTTCTCTCCTCTGGTGTTTAATATTTTAAGTAGAGTGTCTTTCAAGTCTATTTGGACATGGCAGGTCAACGTCATCTCTATCTTCTGCCCCCCCACCCCAAAACTCCTAGTTCTTTGAGAGTCCGATGAAGGAAGGGTACTCAACACATGTGCGGTAAACACCCTCTTCCTTACTTTGAATGGATGGGATTGTTTGGCTCTGTGTGGTGGATGGAAAAAGGGTCCAGGGGCTAATGCATCCAGAACTTGGGAAAATCCTTTTCTGTTTTGGATTACCTACAGGTGGCCATGCTTAGTGGGGATTTTGGACTTTGTAGTTGAAAGGAGGAGCTTTTCACAGCTCTGACTGTATTGCATGAGGGTCTTCTCTCTGCTGTTTTTTTTTTTTTTTAAGGGAAAGGATTCTGTTCTTACCACGGTCTATATATATATGCCCTGTGGAGATAAGGTTGGGGTGGAGAATATTCTCGATAAGAAAAGCACTCTTGTCCTATTTCAGGTCAGAGATCTGAAACCTTCTGAAGGGGGGGGGTCTGTGCTGAGAAAGCTCTGTAAATCTGTAGGAACTATAAAATGCACTTCGTTCGGGTCCTTTCGAGGAGAAAGGCGGGTGAGGAATATTTTAAATGAATACATAATACCCCGATGTTAACGGCAGCGACCCACATACCCTTCCAGCTGATCAGGGCAATCACTTGGGGGCGGCAGGCAAGCCCGTCGAGGGCGGGGGCGGCGAGATGGGTTCGAACCAACACAAACCAGTTTTCCGGTGGTTCATTTCTGGTTCGTGCCAGTCTCTAGTTATGATCAGTCTCAAAGCAGAGGAAGATGCCACTGAAATCTCAGTCTCAAAATAAAGATCGAGAAGGCAACATAAACCTTGAAGAGCGGGACAGAACCCTTGCACGAAAGCTAGAATGAGCTGGGACAGGTAGACAAGTATCTGAAAGGATGTGTCCCTTCCTTCAGAGGAGCTTGCTTTTGAGTAGAGGCGCAACAGGATTGTATTTTAAAAAGCACAGCTGGGCCACCTAACACAACAAATGAAGGTTAGTTGGTTGACATATGTTTCAACAACCTTTGGTTTGTCTTTGATACATTTCTGGGTGTCCTTGTAACTGGCCTCTGATGTTTTGAATGGTGTCTTTCAGATGATATCTGAAATCTTAATGAACGCATCTAAAATGTTGATTCAAAAATGAAATAAATAGAGCCAACAACACCAACATTGTATGCAGGTTTTAGAAGTGGTGGCCATCTTAGTCTATGCAGGTCCCCAAAAGCTTACATTACTGAAACCGCAACGTCTACATCGATGTCTACGTTGGCTCGGGCATGTCATGAGAATGGCTGACGTATGGATTCTGAAAGATCTGTCTGGAGAATGAGTGCAGGGAAATCGCCCCAGAGGGAGACCCCAGCTGTGATACAAGGAGATCTGCAAGCGGGGTCTGAAGGCCTTAGGAATGGACCTCAACAGATGGGAAACCGTGATCTCTGAGCGTTCAGCCTGGAGGCAGGCGGTACAGCATGGCCTCTCCCACTTTGAAGAGACCCTTGTTCAGCAGGCCGAGGCAAAGAGGCAGTCCCGAAAGCAGCCAAACCAGAGAGCTGGACAGGGGACAGATTGTATTGCTCTTCAGTGTGGAAGGGATGGTCACTCTCAACCTGGCCTTCTCAGCCACACCAGACACTGTTCCGAGACCTCTATTCAGAGCACGTTACTATAGTCTCTCGAGACTGAAGGATGCCTAAACGAAAGCTAGTCTTTAAGTTGCCTCAGTGCTTTTTTTCTTTTCATTTTTAATTTTTCTTTTGTTTTTGCCTGGTATATTACAGGCAGGATTAGCAAAAGTGTGTTCTTTATAGCCTGCCGTACCATTTTTAGTCATCAGGTGGCAGGTGCCCCTAACCTTCCCTAGAGGCAAAGTTGGTAGAAGGCCTGAGCTACTTATTTCCTTAGAGAGCCTCCCTAGGTATTTCCATGTGCCCCCAAATTGCCTCTTGTGAACAGCAGCCCTTCTGGGCTTTCAAAACTCTGGCTGCCTATGTGGAATCCATCTCATTTATTTATTTATTGAGTCCTTCTCATGACGTGCCCAAAAGCCCGAGTTCCCTCTTGTTGGCTTCTCGAGAGACTTTGGGCTTGATGTCGTCTAGCATATCTTTATAGCTCGAAAACTCTGGCATGGCGAGACTCCATGGATCCCTGTTATTCGTGATGCCGCCTGATTTGCGTGGAGAAATCAAGTTGGCCATTGCCTTGATTCCTTGTTTTTCCTTCTTTCACAGGAAGAAGACCGTCTACAAGAGTGTACTCCTGTCCTTTGCCCTGGTGGTTGCAATGACTGTCTTGCAGAGGGGCATGACTCCGACCCAGTTCTTCCAAGGCCAGCCAGCCAAAGACCTCCTCTTCCAAGAGCCGGTCAAAGCTCAGAAGAGGGACAATGTCATCTCCCTCGCCGACAATTTCTGGAAGAAGGCGGGGCCCCTGGCCACCCCTGCTCAAGTGACCTCGAAGCAAGTGACGTCGTGGGACGTCACCACCATCAACTGCACGGCCAACCTCAACTTCACGAAGGACGACTGGTTCAAAGGATTGGAGCCCAACTTCCGGCAGTTTCTGCTCTACCGGCACTGTCGGTATTTCCCCATCCTCATCAACCACCCGGAGAAATGCAGCGGCGACATCTACCTGCTGATTGTGGTGAAGTCCATCATCACTCAACATGACCGTCGGGAGGCCATCCGCAGAACCTGGGGCCAAGAAAAGGAGGTGGATGGCAAGAAGATCCGGACCCTTTTCCTGCTGGGGATCGCCTCGAAGGAAGAGGAGCGAGCCAATTACCAAAAGCTTCTGGAGTACGAGAACCACATCTATGGGGACATCTTACAGTGGGACTTCCTGGACAGCTTTTTCAACCTCACCCTCAAGGAAGTGCATTTCCTTAAGTGGTTCCACATCTACTGTGACAACGTTCGGTACGTCTTCAAAGGGGACGACGATGTCTTCGTGAGCCCCGACAACATTATGGAGTTCCTGCAGGACCAGAAGGAAGCCGACCTGTTTGCGGGCGACGTCCTCTTCAAAGCCCGGCCCATTCGGAAGAAGGAGAATAAATATTATATCCCCAACGCCTTATACAACAAGAGCCATTACCCGCCCTACGCGGGCGGAGGCGGCTTTGTGATGGACGGTCCCCTGGCCAAGAAGCTCCACAAGGTCTCGGAGATGCTGGAGCTGTATCCCATTGACGACGTGTTCCTCGGGATGTGCTTGGAGGTCCTTCAGGTGACGCCCGTGGCGCACGCCGGCTTCAAGACCTTCGGCATTGTGAAAAACAAGAACAGCAAGATGAACAAGGAGCCGTGTTTCTACCAGAACATGCTGGTAGTCCATAAACTCCTTCCTTTGGAACTGTTGGAAATGTGGGATTTGATCCATAGTAACTTAACGTGTTCCAGGAAGCTCCAGATCCTTTAGCTGCCACCTTTCATGGTCGGAGCAGGAAAACTGGTGGGGAAAGAGGTCCGGGTCACGTTCCCAGAACCCTCTTTCCCTATGATTGGGGAAGGGAGAGAAGGAGGCGCCATGTGTTCGGAGCAGGATGATAGGGAGACAAAGTTTGGGAAGGTCTCCGTCTTTTTTATTTTCTTACCCCCTTTGGGTTTTGTTTTGTTTTGTTGGAAGGGCGCCAAAGGGACTTTGACAAAGACGGACAGAAATCCTCCAGGACCCTCTTCGGGGAGAGAAGAACCAGTGAAGATTCTGCCGCCGGCTTCCTTAAATGAAGGATCGTTCGCGACCGCGAGCCGAGAGAA